CTGCAGAGCTAGGGGTAGATCCTTATCCTGTCAGGAGGACTGAAGGGCTAGGGTTAGATCTGGATCCTGTCAGGAGGACTGCAGAGCTTGGGTCAGATCTTGACCGTGTCAGGAGGACTGCAGAGCTAGGGTTAGGTCCTTATCCTGTCAGGAGGACTGAAGGGCTAAGGTTAGATCCTGATCCTGGCAGGGGGACTGCAGGGCTAGGGTCAAATTTGGATCCTGTCAGGACTGCAGAGCTAGGGTTAGATCTGGATCCTGTCAGGAGGACTGCAGGGCTAGRTTTAGATCCTGATCCCGTCAGGTGGACTGCAGGGCTAGGTTTAGATCCTGACCCTGTCAGGTGGACTGCAGGGCTAGGTTTAGATCCTGACCCTGTCAGGAGGACTGCAGGGCTAGGGTCAGATCCTGATCCTGTCAGTTTGATTGACACGCAGTTCTTAATCCACAGAGTGTAATAAGACCTGGTTCTCAGTCGTCCTATAACCTGTAACGCTGGGTTGCTGGTTCGATCCCTCTTTTCAGCCATCTCAGTTGTTGTGGCCTTGGGCAAGACACTTCACCTTCAAATAAGGCTAAAAAAGTGTAGTTATAAAGTGTTTGTAGTACATTTACCATTTTATTTTGTAAAAACTACTAAATTAAACTATATATTCATGTTTGTTTAAGTGTTTGAATCAGTTTCAGAGCTAAGAGTTGAGCCGTGGATTAAAACTTCATCGTTTATCATATTATGTTTTTAGAGCTCAAATTTGATTGGGTAATTACTTTGAATTTTTTGTTTTTTATATAGATAATGAAAAAAATTAAAAGTTAGTCCAGCAGTTAATGAAATATGTTGCTAACGAATACAAACGGTTGAACAACAGTCAATGGAAACATATCTARTACAGTCTTACAGTGATGAACCTCAGCTTCTCCTCCAGCAGGTTTTAGCTCAACAACTGCAAACTTGGCTCAGTTTCATTCAGCTCAGAGTTTCTCCAGTTCGTTTTGCTGTGACGGCTGTTTTCATCGCGTCAACATCAAAAGTTCTCAGATGAAGATACTGTGTCAATCCACTGATTAGCTTCTGAGAGTTTCATTAACATTCATTCAGTAGATTGTGACAGATTTTAGTAAYAGATAAACACACACACAGGTGAAAACATCATCTGATTGCCAGTGGGGGAGGGGGCAGGGGTCCTCTGGGATCAATTAATGAATAAATGATGAAAACAGATTTCTAATCAAGTGAAGTCTGGACTAGTTTTATCTAAAGCCTAATCATCAGCTGGGAGTCGAGGGAAAAACTGACCAATATGCATCATATCTGAGGTAACAATCTTCATCTGCAGACCTAAACACCTGCCCTTCTACTGACACACACAAGTTTGTATTTCTATCCTTATTAGGACCATTCAATGACTTCCATTCATTTCCATTATTTTCTACAG